TTCTGATGAATATCTAAGTAAATTCACTTCTCTCCTCCCACGTTCTCAGGCTTGAAGATGCAGTGGACGCCGGAGCATGCCCAGTGGCCAGAACAGCACTTTGACATCACTTCAACCACTCGGTCTCCTGCCCACAAAGTTGAAGCCTACCGAGGGCATTTGCAGCGCACCTATCAGTATGCCTGGGCAAATGATGATATTTCTGCTCTAACTGCATCCAACCTACTAAAAAAATATGCAGAGAAGTATTCTGGCATTTTGGAAGGTCCCGTGGACCGACCTGTGCTCAGCAACTACTCAGATGCACCATCAGGACTAGTGAACGGTCGGAAGAATGAAAGCGAGCCCTGGCAGCCTTCCTTGAATTCCGAAGCTGTTTATCCCATGAACTGTGTTCCCGACGTTATCACTGCCAGCAAAGCTGGCGTCAGTTCAGCCCTCCCTCCAGCAGATGTCTCTGCAAGTATAGGGAGCTCTCCTGGGGTAGCCAGCAACCTGACAGAACCTAGCTATTCAAGTAGCACCTGTGGAAGCCACACTGTACCTAGTCTTCACGCAGGCCTCCCATCTCAGGAATATGCCCCAGGATACAATGGATCGTATTTGCATTCTACTTACAGCAGCCAGCCAGCACCTGCACTTCCTTCACCTCATCCGTCTCCTCTGCATAGCTCTGGGCTCCTGCAGCCGCCGCCACCACCTCCCCCGCCACCAGCCCTGGTCCCAGGCTACAATGGGACTTCTAACCTCTCCAGTTACAGCTATCCCTCAGCTAGCTATCCTCCTCAGACTGCTGTGGGGTCTGGGTACAGCCCGGGGGGTGCGCCCCCTCCTCCTTCAGCGTACCTGCCTTCAGGAATTCCTGCTCCCACGCCCCTGCCCCCCACTACCGTTCCTGGCTACACCTACCAGGGTCATGGCTTGACGCCCATTGCACCATCGGCTCTGACAAACAGTTCGGCAAGTTCTCTCAAAAGAAAAGCTTTCTACATGGCAGGGCAAGGAGACATGGACTCCAGTTATGGAAATTACAGCTATGGCCAACAGAGATCTACACAGAGTCCTATGTACAGAATGCCCGACAACAGCATTTCAAACACCAATCGGGGAAATGGCTTTGACAGAAGTGCTGAAACATCATCCTTAGCATTTAAGCCAACAAAGCAGCTAATGTCCTCTGAACAGCAAAGGAAATTCAGCAGCCAGTCCAGTCGGGCTCTGACCCCTCCTTCCTACAGTACTGCTAAAAATTCATTGGGATCAAGATCCAGTGAATCCTTTGGGAAGTACACGTCTCCGGTAATGAGTGAGCATGGGGACGAGCACAGGCAGCTCCTCTCTCACCCGATGCAAGGCCCTGGGCTCCGTGCAGCTACCTCATCCAACCACTCTGTGGACGAGCAACTGAAGAATACTGACACGCACCTCATTGACCTAGTCACCAATGAGATTATCACCCAAGGACCTCCGGTGGACTGGAGCGACATTGCCGGTCTGGACCTGGTGAAGGCTGTCATTAAAGAGGAGGTTTTATGGCCCGTGCTGAGGTCAGATGCATTCAGTGGACTGACGGCCTTACCTCGAAGCATCCTTTTATTTGGACCTCGGGGAACGGGCAAAACATTATTGGGCCGATGCATAGCCAGTCAGCTGGGGGCCACGTTTTTCAAAATTGCCAGTTCTGGACTTGTTGCCAAGTGGTTAGGAGAAGCAGAGAAAATCATCCACGCCTCGTTTCTCGTGGCCAGGTGTCGCCAGCCCTCGGTGATCTTCGTTAGTGACATTGACATGCTCCTCTCCTCTCAAGTGAGCGAGGAGCACAGTCCGGTCAGCCGGATGAGAACCGAATTTCTGATGCAGCTGGACACTGTACTCACTTCGGCTGAGGACCAAATCGTAGTAATTTGTGCCACCAGTAAACCAGAAGAAATAGATGAATCTCTTCGGAGGTACTTCATGAAACGACTTTTAATCCCACTTCCTGACAGCACAGCGAGGCACCAGATAATAGTACAACTGCTCTCACAGCACAATTACTGTCTCAATGACAAGGAGTTTGCACTGCTCGTCCAGCGCACAGAAGGCTTTTCTGGACTCGACGTGGCTCATTTGTGTCAGGAAGCAGCAGTGGGCCCCCTCCATGCCATGCCAGCCACAGACCTTTCAGCCATTATGCCCAGCCAGTTGCGGCCCATTACGTATCAAGACTTTGAAAATGTTTTCTGCAAGATTCAGCCTAGCATATCTCAAAAAGAGCTTGATATGTATGTTGAATGGAACAAAATGTTTGGTTGCAGTCAGTGATAACTTCTTTAGGAAAAAAAAATGTAATGAATGTTGGCACACACACATAAAACCTGCTACATAGGGAATAGAGCCCCTTTCCAGTAGTGTTTAAATTGCAAAGGGTCCTGGGGAAGACGCCGATTAAAAGTTGCATCTTTAGAGTCAGGGTAGATTTGGAGGAAAAGTGCATCACATGAGAGCTTCCGATTTGAAAGCCCCAGATGACAGAAAGCGTTTGTGGATGCTCAGTTCGGTTCAAGCTAGACAACACTCACCAAGGAGCAAGGTGCAAGTGTGTTGATTTCAGAAGGACATGAACCTCGTGTGTTGATTCCATTCTGCTGTTCTTGAGATTTAGTTGCTGTCAAGTGCCTGGAGTGGTGCTTTATTTTTTGTTTGCCTCACAATTACATTGGTGGCATGTGCTAATATAAAGAGCTTTAACTTCAAACATTATTGGACTAAAGAGATGAACGGTTGTGTTATGACAGAAAACCAGATTTTTGCCATTTTAAGAGCAACAGTATTCCTCAATCCTGTCTGTTCTGCAGTATTAAGCTAAGAACAGGTAAAACAGGGTAACGGTAATCTGGACCTTAATTTCTGCAGTTCATTTCTTTTAATGTTCTTGTCTGCAAAAACTCAGGAAAGTGATTGTGATTTGTACAGTACCTCAAAGGAATGTGTTGAAAGCACTATGTACTGCTGAGAGTAATAGGATAGGCTTCAATGTTACTTTATATTAAAATGTATGTTTACCTCAACAATTGGAAAATAGCAAGGAAAATTACTTTGAATGTATCCAGAAAAATATTGACGTGTGATACAACTGAATATTTACCAGTTAAAGTAGAAATGGAAGGATTAAAACAAACAAAAAAAAAAGTTCTTTTACTAAATATGGGGAATTAACCAGAGTGGAATAATCCTGTGTTGTCAATAACTGCAAGAGTTCTTAGTACATTGCTCCTTGATAATTAAGTGAAAATGTTCTTAAAAGGTACACTGGTTAATTGAAAGTTACTTATTCAGTTTATGTTAGTGTCTAGAACAGTCAGCCACAAGACCTGTTTAGGACCCTGAAAGTCACAGTCCCTAAAATAGACGACTGCCTTTCACTGCTTACCGGGTAGTGCTGGCGGTGGTGGTTTGCAAGTGATCTCTTGGAACTGCTGGGAATGGTGTCATTCTATTCACTAATCTAGCTTATAGGCTTGCTGTGCTGTTTGATAGAATGCAGAGGATAGCAACCAAAACAATAACTCACAGATAAAAAACAAAAACCAACCAACCGACATGGATATCTTAATTCTCTCCACAAAGAACCTTTACATCACCCCGCCCTTCTTTGGGACTCCATCCTTGTCAGTGCAATTTTGCTTCTCCTCTTGGAATCTGAGCTGTAGTCCTCCCCTGTTTATTTCTACCTCAGTTTTGTTACATTTCTCTTGGAAAGTAAAGTAGAAAATTGGAAGTGCGCACATACTCTGCAATATAGTTTGCCAAATTCTGTTTTCTCCCATCTTTCCCTGTAAGTCTAGTTTCCACAAGCACCAGTATTTAAACTTAGGTCCAGCTCGGTCGCCCACTCCCCTCTTGTCATACCCGGCATTTTTCTGAATTTCCCATTACTCTCCTGCTCCCCACCAGGTTGTTCTTTGTACCCTTTAGTGCTTTATGTGCAACTTTTCATTGATAGCTGGCTGATGTTCAGCAATACCTCTGAGCAGTTACAGCCCCGCAGTAGCTTTCCAGAGCCACTGCGCATGCGTACGCAGAACAGCTGGCTTTTTGAATGTATTTTTCCTGGTTCCTGCCCCCGTTTCCTTTTTTCGTTTAGAGATGCAGTAACAAAACTGTTTCCAAGCACTGGCATTTTGTGTATTCATTAAGTGGTGTACATTTTTTAAAAAATTAAATAAATGCAATGAGAAGCCCCAAGAAAGGTCTTTCTGTTATTTTTTTCTTTCAAAAATTTTTACCAGTCTCCTTCGCAATGTCCAAGTCTCTGAAACACTTACCGTAGAGAAAGCTAGCGAGGATTTCATGATATTTCCGAAACTTCATCAGGCTTGATCGTTAGTCCCTGTTTTTAGTTTTCATGTAGCTAAAAACTGAGCAAATGAACCAGAATTTAATTTACTATGATGTTCTAGCAATTAAAACTGTGCTTAGATATAAATATTCTGTATTAAAGAGCAGTGCCTTTCATGAAGGATACAAAAAATAATATTGAAGTACATCCTCTGCTTTTCACAAGTGAATAAATGCTACCATGGTATTCTGGGTCTACCCTGCACATCCTTTGTTGTAAGGAAATTCTAATATCCACATTAACTTGTAGGTTCATATTGATCTCACTGACAAGTTTACTTTTGCACAGTGCTGACCTATTTTCTGTCTTTTAGATATTACATTTCATATCTGCCAACATGCTGTGTTCACTTGAAAGCATCTGGCAAGTTTTGACAAACCTAGTCTTATTTAGACAAGTTTGGAAAATCCAATATTGACCCACATTTTTTTTTTTTTTTTTTTTGTGGCTGGTAAAACTTAATGCCAAATATATGACTGCACTATTGTGTGTTATACTCATTTATAAAACTGAAAATAAATTGAAGTCATACATCTTGGCTTTTAGCTTTAAATGACTTAAAAATTAGAGCTATGAGTGACTTACAAATGAGCTTGAGATATGAGTGGTCAGAAATCTGTTTTTAGGCAGAAGCTGAAGTGTGTGATTTTCATTTAGCCTCACAAAATCCAAGATTTGATCTCTTAGGAAATTGGGCATGTTGAAGAAAGGAAGATCTTTTAGAGGAGATGAGGCTGACCTCTGATGGATAGTGGTCCCCCGTGCGTCTTTGATTCAGCACGGCAGTGTTATGAGCTCTTCTGTAGACTAGCCTAATAATGAGCTCTTTTCTGGCCCTCCATTCTGGAAGTTCGGGTGGGGGTGGGGTGCCACGTCCTCAGAAGTGAATATGTGCAATTGGTGACCGCACAGCCGAGTAATCGGGCTTCATACTGTTGGCCTCTTTTTGACTGCTAAGAATTTGGAGAAGGCTACTAATGAAGGTAAGGTAACGAGCCAGTCCAAATCCCTCACCGTCTGGCCGGGGGACTGAGCCAGACTTAACGGCCCCTAATTCCCTTCTTCCCAACTGCAGTAACGTTTCCAACAGGGACAAACAGGAAATGAAGGAGACTACTTCAGTATTGGGATCAACAGCAATTCAAGAGGTAGTTGGTAATGACCTTCTATGTGACACAAATGGAAATACTCTATACTTCTGGACTGCTTCTCTCCAAAATACTTAGAACATAGTGACAACATGGAAAACTTTGCTGACTGAGCTGATCAATGGAATGTGAAGGCAGTATACTTTAAGGCTATTTACTTTCGCACGGAGTGTTTATCTATTAGTCAGTTTGTATTCGACTCAAATGCAGATAGACGGGTATAATGTTTTCTTGTGCATTTGATTTCTCCTATCAAGGAGAAAATAAACCATTCCACTAAAATACATAGGCCAAACACCATCTGGGAGAGTGATAAAAGCTAACCAGAGGCTATGCTATGTAAAATAGCAAGGTCAATTTACATGGGTTGCATAGTACTTGGCTATGCAGTTTTCAAAAGAATACATCCAAAAAAATCCAAATTAATTCCTACAATAGGTCTTTGTAAATCGAAATGTATCTGTGGGTTGGAAAGTATGTTTTAGAGACATTCAGAGTTTCTTTCTCTAAAAATGTATCCGACTCCAAGCAGAAAGATAACTTCTATAATCCCATTCTCATGTTTCTTAGCAAGAACTGAATCATGATCATTGAGTCCATATTTTGCAAAGTGAAAGGGACACTATTGAGGCCGCTAAAGTAAAGTTCTAATATATATATATATATAAATATAAAATTAGCGTGTTTGTGTGTGTATGTGTGTGTTCTGTTTTCACCACCACCTATTTGAACTTTAAAACCAACATCTAGTTAACATTATTCATATGGATCTGGTTACTTTCTTCATATGTGAGCGGTACTACATGACCACTTTATGATTCAAAGTGTTTTAACATGATTTTTCTTTTTGAAAAGTAAGGCCTTCGGTTGTTGAATCACCTGCTGATTTCTATATGAAGCACATTAGCAAACATGGAGCTATTTCAGAATTCACAACCAGCTGTACTGGTGACTAACCAACACATGAACTGAAGCTCCCACTCTGCTAAGACCTCTGGTTGACATTCGATTTTGAACCTGCCAGATGCATTTGTGTGAACCAGGGATACTGCATCTTTAATGAACAAGTCTCTTCTCTTTCCCCTGTTTTTAAATACAACACAAGCAGTGTAGCACTAGGCACTGCAATTGTCAAAGACAATTAGACTGAAAGCAGGAAAATTTCACCTCCCTGTCTCAGTGATATGTGGAATGTCGGCAGCGTGGGTCAGCCTTGCCACAGAGTTGTGTGGGAATATATGAATCAGTCCTATAGAATGTTAAATATTTATAAAATGGTTCTGTAGTACACCAAGGTTGGGAGCACATTCATTTCTTCAAGTTGTTTTATGATACAAAAAAA